ACTTACTCTTGTTAAATGTGCTCCCGTACTACTGAAGAAACTTCCTAACGCTTTTTGTTCTTTTAATCTCCCTACAGTCTCCCTTCTCTCTCATGTATGTGCTACATCTCTCTGCTAACAGAAAGTTGATGCTATCACTCTTCTATTTAAAGTCCTTCAACAGATCTTCTTTAGGCATCCCATTCATGGCCCTCAAGTCCTTACACGGGATCTATTTCCTTTCCAGGCTCCATTCCTACTATGTCCCCACTCAGGCCATTGTGAACATTATTTTTTCTGGAACATGTGTACTTTGTACTTTGTAAAATAGCTTCCTGCTTGCACATATAGTCTGCTATACCTAGAGAGAAAAGACAATGCTATGGCTCTAAGGCAGGCCTTCTGAACTCCTGACTTTCTCACCCATCCAACCTTATTATTCCAGCTGCCTGGATTAGAGAGAAAGGTGTTTTGTATCCCCTCATTCACGCTTCCATCTCTGTCTGCTTTTGCTAGACACCCACTTCCACTGCCCAGCACCCTGGCTCTCATTTGCTTTCCTCTCATCATTGTGTATGCCTGTCCTGAGGCCCAAATGATCTTTGGAACACTCAATTCATGTGTCATTTTCTGCAGACACTTTGCACTTGTGCCCTCTCTTTCAGACACATGAGCTTACACAATTGCAAACAGATGTAAATGGAGGGAATGGGTATTTACTGGATAGTTTTACAAGCTAGGACTTTCCTAGGAGCTAGATATGTTATAGTTCTTCACTTCCATTTTGTCAAGTTGTGATGGTGGGAGTACCAGACAGAATGCTGCATTAGGAATGCAGTTCCTAATGATCTTGTGTAGCTATCATGGCTTTTGAGATTTTTCAGTCACTAGAGAAGCTTGGAGAAACGTTGAAATTCAGTAGTCACAAAACAAGGCATCAACACTGAAAGCAGGGCTGGGGTGAGAATAGTGGGTAATATAGGGAATGGTGTGCAGATGGATTCCAAGTCCATGACATATGGGGACAGGTTGTGGGCTACTCTGAGTAGTCCCAGCCTACATTAAGAACTCTTGCTCTAACCGCTGATGTTGGTGTGTCCGTGTTGCCCTGATTTGTTCTACAGCCTTCACAGTGAAGGTGGCCACACACACAGCATCACAGTTATCACACGTACAGCCAGCATGTGCTTTATGGTGATGACCACAAGTTTGACAGTAAGTTGTAGGAGGACAATTGATTAGATCTGTAGGAAGAGAACTGAGTAAGAGAGGACATTGGGAAGCCTTGGCCGTGTGGAGTCATGGCCTGCTGCAATCCAGGAGCAGTTGATAGGGAAATGCAAGGGTGAGCAGCTCCCTAATCCTCAGGTTTTGATAACAGATGAGGCAGAGCTGAGGGATGTCCCACAGCCTCAAATCAACTCTGTTGCCGTCTTGCCCTCCTCCCTTACACCTATGTGGACCTCAACCTTTAAAGCCTAATGCTGTTAATTTGGCTATCGACCATCAGTCAACAGTCCATGTGTATGATTACCAGCTCTGTACACCAAGTTCATCACTGCCAGACAGCAAACAGTAAGTCACTTAACTTTTTAAAGATTTGAGTTGTAAATATTAATTTAGATGGACATGAAGCTTTTACTAAATGTCAATTTTCAGAGCTAGATCTTTCAGTTGTTCTACAGCATTCACCAAAATAGCAGAGAAAAATCTTTTTTTGGATGTGAAAAAGTTGGAGAAGGAAGCTGTTTAAAATTTCTTGTTTAGGTCATTATTGCTTTCCTTGGGCCAGAACTCTAACCCAGACTTAAAACCATAACTGATGGCAGAGCATCTGAGTCTGTATTGGGGAGGTTCTAAATTTGCTCATAAAAACATTAGCAGCAATGTGGCTCCCCAACAGAAAGCTTAACACAGGAGGTCAGACTTCAGATAGCTCTAGTTGCAGACTCAATCTCTGTCATTCCCAGGAAGATAAAAACAATCAATGATGGACGGGACAATCACTACATTGGGTGATGTCAAGCACATAAATGACCTAACAAACTTCCTTTAAGTTGATTAAAAAAGAAAATGAACATCTGTTCTAAGTACACTTGTATTTAATTGAAGCCAATATGATTCAACAAAGCAGAACATCAACACTTCTGAGTATATGGTAACACTGAGACAAATAGCTAACTATACAAAGATTTCTTTGAATATACAACTTTGTAGATCAAAGATAGCACTCTGTTATTCTAACGGCACTCAATGAATGGGTAGTAAATATTGCTGTCAATAATTAGTACCACATGTTTATGCATTCAGAGATTATTTGTCATTTCAAAAGCCCTTTTAATTGCTTTATTTGTCCTATAGGACTGAACTCACTAGAATAGTTGAAAAATATTTGACTCTGTGGTACAACATAACAGCTGTTTAACACCAAATAACAACAACTTAAAGCAAGCGAAGTGAATTCTGAAACCAATTAAAACTACCGGGATAAAATAGGTAGAAGGAATAGAATTACAGAGATTGAAATCAAGGCAGGTTAACAGGACTAATAATAACCTCATCTTTTTCAGAGATTTAATTATAAAATTAGTTACCTACTTTTACTTTATGATGTTTAGTTTTCCCTCAGAGGTTAGGGGCAGTGACTGAAATGATTCTGCAGAAAGTGAGGACATGTTGCTCTTTGCATTGCTCTCATGCAGTCCATTCAGCAAAGTTATGCTCCTGCTTCAAGTCCCTGCAAACCATCATCCTAGATGCCTTCTCTGATCTGTGCAGGTCAAGGACATCCTCCCTTGTAGTCTTATTGCACCTGATCCTATTTTCATTTCAGCCCTTATTATACTCTATTAAAATCAAACTCTATTGAAATATCTCTGCCTCATTAGACTTGCTATTCATTTTTATATATACAGTACATCCATTCATGTTCAACTAATGAATTTTGAAGTCAACGAATATCCCAGAAAAAAATTAGTAATATCGAAAAATATAAAGACGGGAAAATAATCTACCAAACTAAAGCATCTTATTATCTCATGTATAATCTTAAGCTTTGGGTCAGTGCAATTGTTCAATCAGCTAATTCTCCCTTCAAACATCAGGATACCATATGGGTGCTGGATCATATCCTGGCTACTCCACTTCCCACCCAGCTTCCTGCTTGTGGCCTGGGAAAGCAGCAGAAGTTGATGCAAAGCTTTGGGACCCTGTACCCGTGTGAGAGACCTGTATGAAGCTCCTAGCTCCTGGCTTTGAATTAGCTCAGTTGCACCCCTGTGGACACTTGGGGAGTGAACCAGCAATGGAAGATCTTTCTCTGTGTCTCTCCTCTATGGAAATCTGCCTTTTCAACAAAAATAAATAAATCCAAGTTTATGTTTCAGTGGATAAAATACTGATTTTCTCAAAGGAGCATAGCAAGAAAAGAATTCAGTGGAGATAAATGAGTATTTTTCCTGCAAAGTATAGGAAAAGGGGTCAGCACAATCAATAGAGGTATTAGTGTCTATAAAGAGGGTACATGATGACTCAATATGCTACATCACTCAAATTGTGGCATCATTTCAAGCTAAAAAGCTGTGGAAGGACTGAGCACTGGTTTTATCCCTTGAAGGTCTTGTGAGGGATTTCGTTTGTAGTGGTTTTCCTAAGGAAAGCAGGGCAAACACAGAACTCAGGATTCAATTCATTGTTTTTCCCTTTCATGTGTGAGCTACTGTTGGATAGTCTCATACATGAAGCAGAGAACAGGTGTGAGATCAACTTTTTTTTTTTTTTTAACCAAGAGCTGCTGGTACCCACTTGAGCTGGAATACAAGTTTCACTCTCTAGGAAGCCTCTGACACTCCAAGATGTTTTAAATCAGACAGTTTTCTTTATATTTGCTGCCAAACATTGGTACCTAGGGAGCCATTTTGCTTCTTATCAGGAATTGTAAAAACAACATCATTCCACAGGATGTTACTTTGGAAGGGGACACAAACTCTGCTAGAATAAGAAGCATAACTATAGCCAACTTTCTCCTTGCTTTTGGGAATTTGGGAGACACAAATATCTATAAACAGGTAGCAGGAATCATGTCCTTGGCAAAACTTACTTACTGGCTCCCAACAGACAAATTAGGTAATAGATCTTTGGACAGCTCCAGGGTAATAACCACATTTTCTCAAATATATGGCCTTAGGGAATTTGGAGCTCTGATTCTGGTGAGCTATTGGCTTCCTTGGGGATTCTTCATAACCATCCAGAGGCTTCTATTTAGGAATTAAACAAGCCATCTCAGGAATATTTTCATTGGAAAAAATTTCAGACGCACTCATTAACCAGAAACGGTTGGCTGAGACACATGGTGTTTCACAGTAGAGTTGAACCTGAAAACACGCATGAATTACCACTGAATAAAGTATGGTTGAATAAAAGTATATTTTCCATGTTATAAATTTGACTGCTTTCTTGAAGGAGAATGGTAACATTGCAATGACACCACGTTCTGCTAAGCCAGGTTTCTAAAAGAGAAACAGACAGACAGCTTAGAGAGCTCTTCCACCTGCTGACTCACTCCCCAAATCCCTTCAATAGTCACAGATGGGTCAGGCTAAAACTAGGATTTCAGAATTCTACTTGGGTCTTCTATGTAGGTGGCAGGGGCCCAAGAACTTGAGCCATCATCTACTGGCATTTAGTTAATCAGACATAATAAGTACATCAAACCTAATCTTATTATCTTAATATATAATCAGCTTACTAGTAAATTTTCCCATAAAAAAGAAACTGAAAATTATAATTACTTTAAATTATGACATGATTGATTTTCCTGCAGTTGTCTTAAAGTCATAAGAAAAGAGATGAAACAATTTTTTTCATCTTTGAAAAGTTATCAGATTGCAGGACATATAACTGACATTAGCCAGCCATTTGCCTCAATAAAAACAGGAGTATATATATTTATCTCTCTATCCTTCTATATAAATGATTCACTCACTTTGTCCTGTATCTCTAAAGAAAACCTAGGGACTTATGAGAAAAGCAAACCTGAATCTATTATATCTCAAACACTGACTATAACTCTTGTGCTAAACAGGTGGTTCACCCCAGTGCAAATAAATCTGAACAAATATTTCCTGGTGACATAAAAGATCTGGGGTCATAAATGTGGCTGTTTAATGAAAGGCACGCCAGATGGAGCTGTAAAAGGGTGACTGTTATGATCAATTTATTATGTAAGAAGGAAGTTTAAAGAAGGAAGTTTAGCCTATTGGATGATACTTTTTTTGATGAGAGGCAGAAAAAGTGTGTGTGTGTGTGTGTGTGTGTGTGTGTGTGTGTGTGTGTGTGTGTGTGTGTGTGACAGAGAGAGAGAGACAGAGAGAGAGAGAGATTGAGATCCCATTTGCTATTTCATTTCCCAAATTCCTGAAACAGACTTTGGCTGAGACCGGAGCTGGGAGCTCGGAATGAAAGCCAGGTTTCCCATGCAGGTGGCAGAAACTCAAATACTGCAGATAGATATCACAGCTTCTTCCCAGGATCCATATTAGCACAAAGGTAAGGTAATGATTGGAGTTAGGCACTATGAAATGTGTCTTAATCATTACGCTTTCCTGGCCCAAAGGGTTCACTTTTTCTTAGGTGTTATACACCATACTGCAAGTCGGACAACCACGTTCTCCCCTAGAGACCTCTTAGGGCTATTTACTCATGTTCAGTCATTTGGAACAAAGGCTTTCCTTCTTTCATATACACTTTAAAGTTACAGACATTAAGTTAGTTTCTGATGCATCATTATATGCCTCTTTGAGGTTCTTGCTTGTATAAAGAATAGAAGCATGCTAGTTATGAATAATGGATGCACAAATGTTTTCAGCTTTGTTTGATATGTGTTCAGAATTGTTTTCAGGAATTGTACATTATCTTAATGGTTTTCACATTTCACTCTAATATGGGACATTTTAAGACATTTAGGTGTGAAATTTTAGTTCCAGTTTTGTGTTTTCTTTCTTCTTGGGGCATGAAGCTCTCTGACAAATAAATGACTAAGCTTAAGGCAGCTGTAATCTGATTTCCTGCATCACTGCAACAGCTGGCCCATTGTGTGACATGTGGATTAGCTCACGCATTATATTTTCCTTTAAACAAATTAAAGCTGCTTTTAAAATATCTTAGTATTCCATTCACATCACATTACTTGCAATAGAAATCTCACAGCAGCAGTAGAAAACACTCAGATCATTTATTCATGAAGTTGTATCATGGGGTTGAGCCCTCAGTTCCTGCTGATGAGAATTTTTAATCTAACCCTGTTGTTTCTTACACATGAAATTTCCTAGATTCTACTGAATTTTTAAAGGAAAAACAGAAAACACAAAATTCATTGAATTAATATGTTTCTCTCTTTCTAACATATCTGTCTACTTATTTTCCCTTAGAAAGAAACATGATTTGGGGTTTTTTATTCTGCAGCTTTTTGAAAACCCTAAACTTTACTATCTCTTAATGATCTTGTACTCACACCTTTGAGTATATATTTTCAGTCCAGACCTGTTTTTCCAAATGTACCTATTAATTTGCAACAGCATTTTTATTGCATGGCTACGTTTCTCAAATGCAAACTAGAGGTAAATATTTCTTTTCAATTGATTACTTCTCCATTTGAATTTAAGCAGCATTTGGACAACCAGGTCATTCCTTCCCTAAAAACATTCTCTCTAGGTTATTTTCTCCCCAGACTCTTGAGCAATCTTCATGACTTTGAATAGATTCCATATCATAGCAGTTTCTCAATTTGCTTCTCTGGTCTCAATCTGGTGCTGAGTTCCAGAATTATCTACTCACTTGCTTTCTTGATTTTGCCACTGTGGTGATTAATGGCTAAGTGGAAGCACAGGTTCTTAGGGCTTACCTTGAGCCACTCCCCTCCCAGCTTTCTCAGTCTTGATAAATTAGCACCATTTACACTCGTTTCCACTCCAAAACTCAAGAATTATCCCACTTCCAATTCATTAGCTGTGGCTGACTCCCTTACAAGTCTCTTATGTTGAACTTTTACCACTTTCTCCTCAACAATCCCCCACCACTTTAAAATTATGGAGTGATCTCTTAATTGGCTTAGTTTTTCTGGGTTTGCTGAACTAAGCCCATTTTCTGTTGAGCCAGGTGCTATTAGTTTTCTGCTGATTACTTAATTTATTTGCAGAATGAAACTCCATTTTTTTACCTCCTCATCCTGGCGTCGAGGACTTAGAGGATTTTAACCTGTTATGCTCATGAGAAAAACTTGAAAGAAACTGGTGTTAAACCCCCAGAATCTTTATGTTGATTGCTTTGAAGTACGCCTAGTCTTGGGTATTTTCTCAAGCGCTCCAAAATGTATAACCATGGTTGAAAACATTGGCTGTAAGATCGATCATCTTGCTACCTCTAAATGCACATCCATGTCTCCTCAGCGTCCCAATTTCTTTCCTAAAGTCCTGATTTAAATGGTGTCAAACACACTGATTCCTCTCCCGCCCTGAGAACATTTACTGAATCCCGAGGTTGTCATTAGGCTGGCTCCTTCTTGTCATCTGTTTTTTTTTTCCCAGCTCAATTGCCACTTTCTTACAGGAGGCTTCTTTAATCACTCAAACTTTCTATCACCCACCAGCGTTTTCTTTGTGGAAGTTCCTTATTCTTAGTTCATTTTTGCTTGACTCTCTGAAACTTAAATTTAATGAAAGCAGATATCAACTTCAGACTTAATCATGTTAGGTTCACATAAAAAAATTTGATGAGTAGACAAACTGCTCCTAGTACTTACAGAAGATATGAAAGAATGTTTGAATTTACACTGTCTTGAAAATTTAGATTATTTCAGTTTGCCTAACAAACAAGAATTTTTAAAACTATTGTGCAGTCTTAGGTTTTGTCCAGGGGAAAGGGAAGAGGTGTTACTGTGAACTTTTTTAATCAGCAGGGATCACGACATTCTGTGATCTATACTGTTGAACTTTACACTTTCCTCCACCATTTGGTTAATGATAGCCAAATGATCAAGGCAGGCTCCTGGATCAGTGTGTTTGGATGCCTTATGGATACATGTTTCAGAATGGAGGACATCAGCAGATTGAGTCTCAGTGCTCTCCAGCCTTCAGAACTCAGTCCAGGACGCAAAAAAAAGAAAAAAAAAATCTGTGTATCTTCCTACCTACCTACCCATCATCTATCTGTCTATGTATCTACCACAGAATAATTAAAATAGATCAACTGAGTGTACGTTCCTGGAATCAGCATTTTTTTTCTTAGATTGCTGAAGTGCTGTGCAGCATTCAATTACTATGTTAAATATGGTACAACTGGTAGGATACATTCATGCCAAGGGATAACCTTTGCTTACAAAAGAATATTTAATTTTTAACCTTCAGACATGATGACCTCATTACCTTAGCTTACATAGTCACAAATGCTGTTAGAGCTGTCAGTTTTCACAAAAAATAAACAGGTAATTTTATTTTTTGAGAGGTAATAGGAACTTTAAAAAAGTCAATGAAGCTAGAGAAACATACAACACATGCAACAAGGTTTTGTTGGCTCAGCCACCCGGCCACATGAAGGCATGCTGAAGCAATGTGGAAACCAACCTCAGGCACAGAGTCCTGCAATGACCACCTGCTCTGCTGTTTACCAGCTCTGTGACCCTGGGCAAGTTCTAGAGACTTCTCAGCGTCATCTACTGTTAATGTTAATGTTAATGTTAATGATGACCATTTCTTGCTCAACTGTTACAGTACACACGGGCCAATGCATAAAAAGAACTAGACATTCATGGTGACCTTCCCTGGCTCCCCTGCATTTGTCTCTCTAAATTAAAGGTTTATTCATTAGTAGGAAAATGCCTGGCACACAGCAAATGCTAGGGAAGGGTTTGAAATGTCTATCATGAGTCACAGATTTTTGACATGGACATATTTTACTAGAAGCCCTAAACACAATTATCTTAACATTTGATTCTAAATATCTCTCCCTCCCTACACTTTAAGAGAGCATGGACCACTTCTATGGCTCTGGAAGGAAACCATGCCAGAAAAATTGGGGAGTGAAAGGTCTGCAACCATGCTGGTTACATTTTTGTTTGTTTGTCTGTTTGTTTTTCATGCTAGTTACTTTTTCAATGAGTATCAATGGGCATTCCAAGAAGAAGTGCAGATGGCCTTTCAGGCTTTCCTGATGGAGACATTTCCTGAAAGGAACTGTCATTTTATTAAAGATGGTTCTTCTACCTAGGCTTTTGTGTTTCCTCTAAGAATTAAGTGAACTATCCACTTGTTATTTGCAGCTACGTGATAATCCCACTATGGGGAGGATGGACAATGAGCAAAAGGCTCATCCTTGTTTCTCCTGTGAGAACTCTTGACCTCTCTAGTCTGACAGTTAGCAAGTATCTTGGGTCATTTTCACCACTTTGACTGTTTCAAACTACAAGGGTCTTAGGTTGGCATTGTGGCACAGTGGGTTAAGGCACTGCTATATACCAATATACCACTTGGGAGCATTGGTTTGAGTCTTGGCTGCTCTACTTCTGGTCAAGTTTCCTGTTAATGTGCCTATGAAGGTAGTAGGAGATGACTCAAGTACTTGAGATCCTACCTACCCTATAAAAGACCAAGATGGACTTCTGGACTAGTGATTTTAGCCTACTTCCCTGCTATCCGGTAATTTGGGGAATGCACCAGTGGATTGATGATGTATCTGTGTGTTACTCTGCCTTTCCAATAAATAAATAAAACTATCAAAAACCCTACAAATTTGAATTTTTTTTCTCTCTCAGTATTTTACAAATAAATATTTGGGGGAGTACTCATTTATTTCTTCTTTTCCTAGTGAGTCTTTGTTTATTAACGAATAGGCTCATGTAGAATATTTTGTTTATCTTAATCATATGGTAAGAGCAAATTAAATAACACTAATGGATTTCTCACACATTCTAACGGATGTTCAAAAAAAGCAAATGTATGAAATCGTTCTGAATTTGATACCACTTAGTAAAGATAGTCTTTATTAGGCTTTGATATCAGTTGGACATAGCTAATAAGCATAAGAACATCTAAAATACAAATGGTAAGCACAAACTCTATTTGTTGCTAGTCAGTGAGGAGGTGCTGTTAAAGGCCTGGAAAGGCAGGTTGCTCCTGATCTTAAATGCTGTGATACAGTTAGAAATATCAGATTTAATGGAGGAAAGAAATCAACAGTTTTTCAGTTCTGCCTCTCTGCTGGTTGGCTACGGTCATACAATCCTTCCTGCAGAGTCACAGTTTTTGAAAAGTACCACCATGCTCCTAAATCTGAATTGTGAAGTACACGAATTTGGTTTGTGTTATAGAAAAAATAATTTAAAATAAAGGAAGAAAACAAACTCCTTACTCAAGACTCCCATTTCCTCTTTTATCTGCCACAATTTAACATTGGTCCTGATATACTGCTCAAATCATTGCATTGATTTTGTTAATAACAGCCTGATGGTGAATTTGATGTCTCTTCATCTACTCCAGTTTCTTTTGAGTGTTGGCCTTGGCAAGCTTCTATTTGCTAAGCTGCTATCTTAATTACCTTCATCTACTGCCTTAATTTGAACCTTGCTGTGTACAACAACTTCCAAATCACCACTTCCAGATCCATAGCTTCTTTCCCTGGAGCTCTAGAAATGCTTTTCACTTGTCTATAGGCAACATTCACTTAACATATTCCACAAGCAACTCACAGCATCATATTCTAAGTTGAACTGTGTCATCCACTGTAAGCTTAACTCCTTTTTCTTTCTGTTACTTCAGGATACTATATTTCACCCAATTCTTTTTCCTTTTTAAAAATATTCTTATTTATTTTTTGAAAAGTAGAGTTACTGAGTGGATAAGGGGCAAAGAGCTAGAGATCTTGCACGCATTGGCTTGCAATGTGTGGCTGGTTGGCTCAGGACACAGGAGCTCCATCAGGGTCTCCCACATGAGGGGAAGGAGCCTAAACACTTTGGCTCCATTGCTTTCCAGATCATTAGTGAAGAGTTTCATCAGAAGTGGAGCAGCTGGGACACACATCAACACCCATACAGGATGCTATGCCACTGTTTTACACATTCTATGAGGTAAGAATCCAGCAGTCAGCTTTTTCTTTTCATTCTATTGTACTACTGTATTTTCTTATTTAATTAAATAAAACATCCTGACAAGTCTGCTTTAAACTTATCTTTCCCAACATTCTTCTTCTTAGTTCTATTCTGTTTTAAAGCTTATATCCATCTATATCATTTCTTATTTGGATTTCTATAATGGCAAACTGATCTTCTGTGTAATGTTAACTCTCTGATGTACTGTTCTCCCCTTCGTAGAATACACAACATCGGTGTGATCTAACTTCATTTTGTGTTACTTTTCTGCTCAAAGAACTCCAAGTTCCCTTGCTGTCTTTAGGATAAAGCTCGTTCCTTACTGGGTTCTCGAGCATTTGCCCTCAAAGTGGTCTCACTGAAGTTTACCCTGACGCAAGTTTTGCTTTCTATTCCTTAGCAAGCTCTCAAGTCTTTCACAGCCTCCTTCCTTCTCCAACTAGATAAACCGCATTCATCTTTCAAGAGCCAACTCAACAGAAATTTCTTATGTTAAGCATACTATGTGTCAGAGGTATTTAGATACTATGTTGTGCTCTCATAGGGAAGAGGCAATTCGTGTTACAGTCATGGAAATGCCTTCTAGAATCTGAACAACTAAGTCCTTATCTTGGCTCTACTGCTTCACAACCATAAACCACTGGAAAAAATGCCTCAAGTCTCTGATCCAATACAATGTTAATTCCAATAGTAGTTAACATTACATGAAATACTGAATATAAAACTTGGGGGAGGAGATTTGGCCTGGTGGTTGATATATATATATATGCCACATTGTAAATCTAGGGTTAAAATCCTGACTCTGTCAACTGACTCCAGATTCCTGCTAATACAGATCCTGGGAGGTAGTGGTAATAGCTCAAGTAATTGAATTTCTGTCACTCATATGGGACCTGGATGGAATTTCTGACTCCTGGCTTTGGTCTGGCCCAGCCCCATCTATCATTAGCATTTAGGGAAGGAGCCAGCAGTTCAGAGCTCTTTGCCTCTCAAATAAAATATTCATAAATTTTAAATTAAATTTTAAAAGGCCAATAAGCACAGTAACAATGGAATTATGGCAAGCACCAAATAAATGACAGCTATTGTTACATTTTCATGGCATTTAACCTGACAAACAGTTTGGTAGTATGTTTCTAGAATGATTTTAATTATTCATTTCGGTGTCTGTTTTGTTCAAAGGCCTACAGGAATTATTTTCCCTGCGCCCTTAGAGTTTGTTACATGACAGGTAATCAATGAATTTTTAATTAATTGAAACAATTGATCCTTGGTGTTTACCTTATTTTTTCCATAAATCTACCACTAATGATTGACTAGTTTGTCCTTAATATATCCTCATGAAGCAAGTAGATAAAGGGCTCAGTTATAATTAGATTTTATTTTTTTTAAGATTTATTTTTATTATTTTTTTATTGGAAAGGTGGATATACAGAGAGGAGAGACAGAGAGGAAGATCTTCCGTCCGATGATTCACTCCCCAAGTGAACGCAACGGGTCGATACTATGCCGATCCGAAGCCAGGAGCCTCTTCCGGGTCTCCCACGCAGGTGCAGGTTCCCAAAGCTTTGGGCCGTCCTCGACTGCTTTCCCAGGCCACAGGCAGGGAGCTGGAAGGGAAGCAGGGCTGCCGGGATTAGAACCGGCGCCCATATGGGATCCCGGGCGTGCAAGGCGAGGACCTTTAACCACTTGCGCCACCGCGCCGGGCTCTATAATTAGATTTTATACGTGGAGTTACAGAAGAAGGTGAGAGGGTCACTCCTTGCTGTCAAACTGTATCAGCACCAAGGGGTGTGGAGGCTGGTCACTTGATGATGCCTTAAAGACACTGATGTGGGGAAGCATGCTCTGCGGGTCTTACTAGAGTATATTTGAAAGTTCTGAGGCATTGTTGGCTTCATTGCATCAAGACAGAGAAAATCTTTTAAAGGTCTGTTTGTTGGCAATGTCCACCTTAATGCCTCCACAGACCAACTTTCTGCAAAGGTTGATCAGGAGAGCTGTCTGTCCTGCTCTGCTTTCCAACTTGTGATGAGGCACTCGATATCCACTGTTCACCTACATGATCCGGCTGCCATGTCTTTTGTGTGTATCTGTGCATGTGTTTCCACTACATGAGTATAAGGAACTGAGGAGGGCCAGATCTAATAAATGCACGTCAAGGTCTGACCTACATCTTTGATTTTCCCTATGGCCAGGGTCTGAGTTCAGCATCCTAGTAAGGGAGTCTTCCAAGAAACCTCCCCTGCAATGACCTCAGACTTGACTGTTGTATGTGCAGCCAATGCAAGGTCAGGTTAGGTCCGTCACCTGCACCAGCCAATGCACATACTGGTGGATGCAGCTGCTAAGTCAGATCTACCCACAGCCCCATCTCTCACATGAACTGATGGGTGCTTCAGCCTAGCCCAGCCCAGCTTGCCACAGGTCCAGGCTTCATGCACACCGGTGGGTGTAGAAGGTTAGTGTGGATGAGCCCACAAATCCCCCACCAGGCCTGCCCCAGCTCAAGTTTTAGCATGTGCCACCATGTGCTGCAGCCTAGCCTGGTCTGTCCCACATCCCACTGGCTCTTGAAGACATTCATGAGTCACATGGCTTAGCTCAGTCTGCTCTGCCTCCAGTCCTGGTCCACACATATGCTGACAGGTGCTGATATCTTGTCCAGCATGGTTTGTCCTTAGCCCTGGCTCTCATGCTCACCAGGGGGAGGTGAAGTCTGGCAGGGGAGTGCTCATAGTTTCCTACTACACCCATTCCCAGACCTGGATTTTGCACTTGTCAGGTGTACTGCAGTTTAGTCTGACATGACTGGAACTACGCTCAATACAATCATAGTGGGTGATCTTAGTAACACTTTAACATCAATAGACAAATAAAAAAAGCACAGAAACTCAGCAAAGAAACAACAGAACTCACTCAAACTCTAGAGCAAATGGGCTTAGTTGATATCTATCAAACCTTTCATCCTACAGACAGAGAATACACTTTTTTTTTCATCAGTACATGGAACCTTCTCCAGAACTGACCATGTTGTAGGCCACAAAACAAGCCTCAGCAAATTTTAAAAAATCAAATTTGTACCATGCATATTCTCAGACCATCATGGAGTGAAGTTAGAGACCAAAAAGTCAAAACACCCAGGAAGACTTGCGAACGTATGCAGACTGAATAATATGTTAGTAAATGAGCAATGGATTAGAGAGAAAATCAAAGGGGAAATGTTAAAAAAATGTTTGAAACAACTAAAGGCATTAACACAACATATCAAAATTTATGGGACGGGCCCGGCACGGTGGCGTAGTGGTTAAGGTCCTTGCCTTACATGCCTGGGATCCCATATGGGTGCCGGTTCTATCCTGGCAGCCCTGCTTCCCTTCCAGCTCCCTGCCTGTGGCCTGGGAAAGCAGCAGAAGACGGCCCAAAGCTTTGGGAACCTGCACCCGCGTGGGAGACCTGGAAGAGGCTCCTGGCTTCGGATCGGCATAGTATCGAGCCGTTGCGCTCACTTGGGGAGTGAATCATCGGACGGAAGATCTTCCTCTCTGTCTCTCCTCTCTGTATATCCGCCTTTCCAATAAAAAAATAATAAAAATAAATCTTTTAAAAAAAAACTTATGGGACACAATCAAGGCAATGTTAAGAGGAAAGTTCATATCAATCAATGCTTATGTTAAGAAATTGGAAAGGCATCAGGTAAATTAGCTAACCTTACAGTTGAAGGAACTAGAAAAACAGCAGCAAAGCAACCCAAGATCAGTAGAAAAAAATAAATCATCAAAATAAATGAGGAAATAAACCAAATAGAGACCAAGAGAACAGTACACAACATCAATGAATCAATGAGCTGGTTCTCTGAGAAGATCAACAAAATAGAGTCCCCATTAGCCCAACTAATAAAAAAAGAGGGAGAAAATACACAGAAGTAGCATAAGAGACAAGAAAGGAGCTATAACAACAGACACATAGAAAATACAAAGAATGATCAGGAACTATTACAAGCAAATATATGCAAACAAATCAGAAGACCTAGAAGAGATGGACAGATGTTTGGACATATGCAATCCACCAAAATTGAATCAAGAAGCAATTAGAAATCTAAACAGACCAACAAAATGCACAAAGATTGAATCAGTAATTAAAGCCCTCCCAACCAAGAAAAGTCCTCGATCAGGTGGCTTCACTGCTGAATTCTACCAAATATTTCAAGAGGAACTAACCCCAATCCTACACAACCTTGTGTAAACAATGCAAAGAGAGGCAATCCTTCCAATTCTTTCTATGGAGCTAATATCACCTTAGCACCAAAGCCAGATAAACAGCAGAATAAGTGAACTAGAGACCAATATCCTTGATGAACATAGATGCAAAGATCCTCAATAAAATACTAGCCTTGAACATGCTGGGATCCCACATGAGCGTCGGTTCTAATCCTGGCAGCTCCACTTCCACCCAGCTCCCTGCTTGTGGCCTGGGAAAGCAGTTGAACATAGCCCAAAGTCTTGGGACTCTGCACCTGTGTGGAAGACCTGGAAGAAGTTCCTGGATCCTGGCTTCGGATTGGCATAGCACTGGCTGTTGCGGTCACTTGGGGAGTGAATCACCGGGCGAAAGATCTTTCTCTCTGTCTCTCCTCCTCTCTGTATATCTGACTTTGCAATAAAAATAAATAAAATCTTTAAAAAAAATACTAGCCAACAGGATCCAACAACACATCAGGCCGATCATTCACACAGACCAGGGGGACTCATCCCAGGCATGCAAGGATAATTAAACATTTGCAAATCCAAAATGTGATACATCACATCAACAAATTTAAAAGTAGAAACCATATGATTCTCTCAATATATGCAGAGAAGGCATTTGATAAAATCCAACACCACATCATGCTGAAAACCCTAAGCAAGATGGGCATAGAAGGAACATTCTACAACACAATCAAAGCAATTTATGAAAAACCCAATGCCAGCATTATACTAAATGGAGAAAAATTGGAAATGTTCAGTTCCACTAAAATTTGGAACAAGACAGGGATGTCCACTGTCACCACTACTATTCAATATAGTATTGGAAGTCCTTGCCAGAAATCTTACACAAGAAAAAAGAATTAAAGGAATCCAAATTGGAAAGGAGGAAATGAAATGATCTCTATTTGCAGATGACATGATTCTCTACAAAGGGGGAACCATAAGACTCAGTCAAGAGATTATTGGAACTCATAAGAGACTTTTGCAGGGTAGCAGGATACAAAACCAATGAACATAAGTCAATGGCAATTATAATAATAATTCCAAGGCTGAGAGAGAATTGTAAGTACAATCACCTTTAAAATAGAGGAGAGGAATCTTAAATACATGGGATTAAGCTGACTAAATATGTGGAATATCTCTATGATGAAAATTATAAAACATTTAAAAAGGAAATAGAAGAAGACTTTGAAAAACGGAGAAACAGAGAATCTAGATGGCGGAATAGGATAAGGACACGATTAAATGGATGGAGAAACATTCAATCAGGATGAAGCTGAGAGGGCACATTCCAGGAAATAGGAGAGGACAGAACAATAGCAGAGGGGTACCAAGAGACTGACAGACACAGGAAAACACCAGGCACAATGGTGTGGTGATACTGCAGTGAATTCAGCAAACAGGGATCTGAACTCCACCAGCAGCTGGAACTCCACCAGCAACCAGGTTCCCAACCAGGAGACTTTCACTAGGAACTTGGGTGGTGAATCCATACAAAGAACTGTCCATCCTGCTGGTCTGTTTCATTTGAACAGGAGCAGAGACAGAGCAGCAGATTCCAGACAGTGCAAGAACAGGGTGGATTTCACAGCGCAGTGAGCCCCATAGAGCCAAATTGGCCCCATTTTGTTTAAGGAGGCAAAGGCAAGGGAAAGGACTTAGCATGCGCTGAGCTGGGAGTGAACTCATTTTTCACTCAGTGAAATGCAGCAATGGGATATAAATTCCACCCAAGAAAGGTTTGGGTAACTCTCAGACCTGACGGCCAGCAGATCAAGAACTCTAGTAGAGGCACATCAGGCGCCATTTTGTACACTGTGGCAAAAGCCTTAGGACTGCAGGGGACAACAGTGAACTGTGCATGTGCTGGTCTCGCGAGAACTCATTGAGTTCAGCCAATTGCACTGGTCCTGCAGGAAAACAGTACCAACTGTGGCATCGTACAGGTCAAGATAGGTCTCTGTGGCACCCAGACCTAACGTCCAACAGGTGCCAGCAAGATCTGCAGAACCAAGAACCTAGCTATATAGGACACCTGGTGTCTCCCTACTCCAGGGACCTGCTCCAACCAGAAGTAGGAGAAAGGATGCAGAGACAACAGTGAAACCTCAGCACGACAACACAGGAGGTGGAGAATGGTGAGCCAGGAGTTGGGGTACGGAGTTCTTTGTAGAAATCTACCATAAGAATCCAGACCTGGAACTTGCTGGAGGGAGTAGAAAATTGGCTGCAAAGAGCTGTATACCAATGGCAATATGTAAAATCAAACTGTAGACTTGTGGGTGACACAGCTTAGAGACCTGCCCCAAGGAGAAAACTCTGCTAGCCACAGGTACAATGATCAAGAGCAAAAGAAGACACAAAAGCAAAATGAATATTACTGAAGACTCCTCTGTAAAGGAGCAAAATCCAATGCCAGCCTCAGAGTTCACTGAGGAAGACATCGAGAAAATGGGGGACACAGCATTCAGAAAACTCATTATAAAACTTCTGATCAACAAAGAGATTAACATACAAGAGATCAACATACAAAAGTTCAAAGAATATAAGGAATATTTTACACAAGCAATAGCAGCAATAAAGCAAATCAAGACTGATATATCAGAAATTAAGAATACAGTAGAGCAAATTAAGAGTACAGTGGAGAGTCTCCAAAATAGAATGAAGCAAGCATAAAAAAGAATCTCAGGATTGGAAGATATTTCCTGTCACCAGGGGAAAGCAAACAAAATCTTGGAAGCAGACCTGGGTCTGACCAAGAAAAGTATTCAAGAATTGAAAGACACTATTGAGAGGCCAAATATAAGAGTTATGGGAGTCCCAGGAGGTACAGAAGGAGAAGCTGAGTTTGCAAATGTATTTAATGTAATGAAATAATCAGAGAAAATGTCCCTAATCTGGAGAAAGTATTGAGAAACAACATCCAGGAGGGGCACAGAACTTCCAACAGGCTTGACCAAAAGCGATCTTCACCACAACATATGATTATCAAGCTCTCTTCAATTGAACATAAGGAAAAGATACTTAAATGTGCACATGAAAAAAAATCAAGTGACATATAAAGGAATGCCAATTAAGCTCACCGGAGATCTCTCACAGGAAACTCTACAGGCCAGAAGAGAATGGAGTGACATATTCTAGATTTTAAAAGAAAAAAATTGTCAGCCTAGGATAACATACTCAGCAAAACTTTCTTTTGTCTTTGAAAATGAAATAAAATGCTTCCACCCTCAAGAATAGTTAAAAGAATTTGCCTCTTCCAAATCTACCTTACAAATGATACTTCAAGATGTTCTCTTGACAGAGAAGAGGAATAGCACCCAACAAAACCAAAGGCAAATGGGAAGAACATCCCAGTAAAATGACAACAGAAGACTAAACCAAGGAACAACCCATTACCAAAATGACAGGGCCAAATTATCACCCATACTTATTTACCCTGAAAGTAATTGGCTTAAGTTCAATCAAATGTTACAGATTGGTATGCTGGAATAAAAAGCAAAACCCATCTACTTCTTGTCTAGAGACACATTTCACCAACGAAAATCAGCAGACGCTATATCTCATGGATTTTGATGTTTTTGTTTTTGTTAGTTTCATCTCTTCAAAACACTTTCTTCTGATTAAATGATTCAATAACTCATAGATCACACAGTAGCATCATTTTCTTCAAGAACATTCTTGATTTTCTTTTTCATTTCTTCAGTGACACATTAATTGGTCAGTAGCATGTTATTTCACTTCATGGTGTGGTTAATTTCTCTTTTCTCCATGATGTTCATTTTGTTTTGTGGATTTCATTTAAGGGGATGTATAGTAGCTGTGTAATGGAGACTGTCATATCTAATCATGTTATTTAACTTCATAGCATTGTAAATTTCTATTTTTATTCCTATTGTTGATTTTGTATTGTGGCTTTTCATTTAAACGGAAGTACAGTAATTGTGAAATGGAGAGTAATATATCCAGATGTGAGGATACAATGTAGTATGCATCTCTACTTCCAGAAAAGGATGAACTTACAATGAACCTGCTTACTATATCTTGACAATAGGATGCTGGACTCTCCGCCATTGTCCATGCCCACAATGATGAACATACGACTCTGAATGAAGAAATGTATGTTAGCAATGCTATAGGGGAACTAAGTGGAAGGGGAGGAGTTGGAGAAGGGATAAGGAAAATCTCAGGGGCCTATGGAACTATATCATAAAATAATAATAACAAAAAAATTTAAAAAAAGAGAACTGGAGAAATTTACCATGTTGCTGGATTGGCAGGTTCAACATCATCAAAATGTCCGTATTACCAAAAGTAATAAACAGATTCAATGCAATCCCAATCAAAATCCCCACAACATTCTTTTCAGAAATAGAAAAGAAGATACAAAACACTACAGAACACTAATGGCCAAAACTATCCTGGAAAATAGAAATCAAGCTGGAGGAATTACAATTCCAGATGTCAAGACATACTACAGAGCAGTGGTCATCAAAACAGTGGTACTGGTACAGAAACAGAGAAGATCAATGGAACAGAATAGAAACACCAGAAGGGAGCCCACACAAGTATAGTCAACTAATCTTAGACAAGAAAACTGAACACAGGCTTTTCAAAGCCTGGTCTCTTCAACAAATGCTGTTGGGATAAGTGGATAGCAGCTTGCAGGATTAAGAAGCAAAACCCACACATGTCACATTATACGAAAATCAGCTCTAAATGGATCAAGGACCTAAATCTATACCCAGAAACCATCAAACTATTAAAGAAAAACATAGGAAGTACACTCCAATATGTAGGAACCAGGAAAAACTTCTTAGAAAAGATGCCAAATGCAAAGGCAATCAAAGCCAAAATGAACAAATGGGACTACATCAAACTAAAAAGCTTCTGTACAGCAAAGGGAACAACAAAGTGAAGAAGCAAGCAACCAAAGGGGAGAAAACTTTTGCACACTACGCAAGTGATAGGGGACTGATATCCAGGATTTACAAAGAGCTTCAAAAACCCCGGCACAGCAAAAACAAAAAACAAAACAAAACAAAACAAAAGCCCTGTAACAACATGTGCAAAGGAAATGAAAAGACATTTTTCCAAAGAACAAATTCACATGGCTAACAGACATATGGAAAGATGCTCAGGCTTCTTAACCATCAGAGAGATACAAATGAAAACCATCTTGAGGTACCACCTAACTCCAGTGAGTCTGGCCTACATTTAGAACTCAACCAACACCTGCTGGTATGGGTGTGGGGAGAAAGGCATCCTCCTTCACTGCTGGTGGGATTGTACAACCATTGTGGAAATCAGTATGGAGACTGCTTGCAGAATTACAAATAAATCTGCCATATGACCCAGCTAAACTGCTCCTAGGAATATACCCAATAGAAACAAAACCTGCATATGAGAAGGGGATATATAATCCTGTATTTGCAGCAGCATAATCCACAATAGCAAAGACATGGAAATAATCCATATGTGTATCCAAAGAAGAGTGGTTAAAGAAATTATGGTATATCTACTCTATGGAATATTATTCAGCTATAAAGAAGAATGAAATTATACTATTTATAAGTAGGTGGTCCCAACTAGAGATCATTATGCTCAGTGAAATGAGTCAATCAGAAAAGAACAAATTCCATATGTTCTCTTTTATAAAAAGAAATCAGCATGAAAAATGTAACTTCAATAATCCAATCCATACTGGTCTTTTTTTTTTTTTTTTTTGGCTGCATCCCATGTGCTTTGTTGTTTTTTATTTGTTTCATTTATTACAAATACTTTCTTTTCTCTGTTGAATTTATTGCTGGCTCATGGATTACGTGGTGGAATCATTTTTTCCAAGAGACTTTTATATTTCCTTTTTGTCACTCATGTGCTGGTTACTCAGTGGTGCGTTTTTTCATGGTGCCGTAATTTGTTGTTGTTGTCATTGTTGTTGTTGAGGCTGTTATTCTACCTCATATCAGTTGTTGCTCTTGTTTCATGGCTTCTCAATTACAGAAATGTATAATGATGGAGTACTGGGGTCTACCATATCCAATGTGGGGATATAATGCAACATGCATCCATACTTTCAGATGAGAGATGGATTCCTAATGAAACTGTTGGACACGTGTAGACAACGGGATGCTGGACTGTCTGACATTGTCTATACCGGCAATGTTGGGGCCGACTTAAATAAGAGACTGATGCAATTATGATTCCTTATGAAGGACTATACCACTGTAGTAAAATGGGGAAAATCTGTTAGGGCGTGAGAGTTTGGGGGGAAATTCCAGTCTATACAAAAATTGTACCATATATATATATAGGGTTAGGGTTGGAGTTATATATATGTATAGCTCATTTCTATCTTGATTTTGAGAAGGATTAGCTGAACCATCAATATGTTCTGTTTGGTTGACAGGATCAGTTTGCTTCCTATACAAAGAGACATTTTTGGTGAATCTGGCAACTTGGTTAAATAGATTAGGGGAGATTCTGCTGTAGTGTCATGCCCAAGGATATGTAAAAACAGAAAATTCATTTAAATATGATATTATAGGTTTTTGGCTCAGTATTTTCAGGGCGTGACTTTCCATTTTTGCATAAAGCATTTACTATTTCATGGTTTACTCTAATTGTCCATTGATGCATCTTCTAACTTGAATCAGGGACAACAATGATGGCTATTCATTCATAGAATGGAATAGTTGATAGCTGGCAAATTTTTACAGCATGGAAAGTACTAGCATGGAACAAGGACATATGAGCTGTAGGCATTGCTGTACTATTACTTTTACCTGTATATTTGTATCAGACACAATACCTTTGGGTCCTGCAAGAGCTACCCTGAAGACTGTGAGAGGAAAATGGGAAATGAGTTGCCTGTTTTTCCTTAAAAGTCTCTTTTGCAAATGATTGTTATCCTCTCCCATTTTTATTACAGTGCCTTGAAGATTGTTTTTATTTCAGGGTAGACATAATCAATTTAAGATATTCAGAATTAAGCAAATCTAAGCTCTTGGAAGATCTCCTTGAGTTCTCTGTGCCCGGAGAAGGCTTAACTAAATTGTCTGATCATGTAAAACAATCTGTCTCATGAATCAAACACAAGGAAGTTTTGAGCTAGCAACACTCTGGTGATCCTCCAGTCTCAGAGCTGTTCCATGTATCAAACACAAGAAAGTGCCGAGCTAACAACACTTCAGTGATATCCCACAGTCTGAGCTGAACCATAGCAGAGTAAACTAATTGTGTGGAAAGAAGAGAATCCAACCCCAGACAATTCTGCGGTTCCAGAATAATCTTGTATTAGAGTCAGTCTTCCCTTCCATGGAGATTTAGAATGCTTGTTTGAACACTGACTATACAAGCAAGGAGATATGTTTAATGAGTAAGGTGTTGGATAGATTCTTAAACATGAGCACTCTTACAGAGAGCATCTCAAAGTCACTAACATCCTCTTTTAAGCCATTTAGTGTAGACTGCTCATGCTAAAGCTGTGGCTAATAAGAGACTTGTCATAAAATGCATTAAGGATTATGGGAATTCATGAACAAAATGCTGTGCTTTGTGTGTCATCAGATATTGCTGCATGCATTTTAAATAAGACAGCTTTGTTAAATTACACTGAAATGTTATTTTTGTTCTCTTAAGAGCTGATGTGAAATTTTTGCATGCTTTAAGACTTTCTAAACATAAACGGCATACTAAATGCAAAGATTTAAGGCTTCCTTGCTTCCCCCCCCCTTTTTAGTGGCTTTCACTCTTCACATTTAATTATGAACTTCATTTTTGCAGAAAACTAGTGACCTTTCTGTGTCTGTAAGCCACATTTTAATATAGAAATACTTATGAATTTAAAAATGGAATTGCCCTTTTCAGTATGCTAGTAATGGGCAAAAGTCTCATTAAATATAAACTCCATGACGTATCTCATTCAGCACCCAGTGCAGTGGCTGACACACAGTAGGAGCTCAATGGTTAAGAAATGAGAATTGAATGTTCTATATTTAGTTCAGAGAATGTGTAAACCATTTTTAAAGCAAGAGAGATTTACCAAGACAAACTCACTTTGAGAAGACAACAAAACAGAAATTTTGGAAATATACCGACAATAACAAATGACTTATTCATAGTAAATATCTGCAATCACATAAACACAATGTCAGTAAACACCTGAATAAATGGTATCATCTATCCTTGGAGCAAAAAACTTACTTTAATTAAGGAACACTACTAAATCCATGTCACTTTGCTTTCTGGTATTTTCTGAATTATGAGCAGAAATAACCTTATCTTCTTCCCAGTGATTGGACAAAAAGTAGGAAAACATGTTATTGTTTGCTCAGCAGCTCTCATCACTCCCCAGGCTGTCCTTGGTAGTGCTAGGGAAATGCAAGAAATGACTAATACAAATTCAGGTGCTCTCAATTATTCACCAGCTCATTATCCAGCAAGTGGGATGCTTCTGATTTCCCTTTACCTGCTTTTCTCCAGCATACTTTTGTTGAAAGAAAAAATGTATAGACTTTAAACTCACATCTCTATAGTTCCTTATTGGTTGGCAGCTATAAGTGAAACTGATGCAATTACTGCAGAGAAAAACAGAGACAGAATGATTTGTCTGCTAGCTCAATCTATAAATGGCCACATCACCTTGGACTCCAGACCAAATCTAGAAGCCATAAACTCAATCCAGGTTACCCATGTGGGTAGCAGAAACCCATCGACTTGAGCCATTATTGTTGCTTCCCAGGGTATGCATGAAGAGAGAATTGGGAGCAGATCAGAACTCAAACACAGGCTCTCCAAATTCTAGTGTCCCGACTGGCAGCTTAACTACTACACCTGTTAGCAGCTTTAATCAAATGCTTGACATAATTTATTGCTATAATGTGGCTAGTGTTTTATTTGTGGATTGAAATTATTTCTAGCAATCACTCAGATTACTTTTAAAATCCTAGCAACAAGCCACAATCCTATTATACTGAAAATATTTTAAGTAGTGAGACATTGCACTATTATTTTAAAATCTAAATGCCTAAACAATTATTAGTAATGAAACACGGACTAAGGTATTAATGGTTTACATCTGTGGAGCACACTATTTTAGCAATACAGTTAACTATAATCAGAAGTTTAAGGTTCTGGTATCCTTCAACAAACTTTTAATACGCAGGTATGGAGTGCAAGATTTGGGATAGGAAAATAAAGATGAATTAAACAGTTCTTTCCTGCAGTAGGTCGCAGTCTCCTGGGAGAGCCCAGCAACGAAATAAATAATCATAAAACAATATAATAAGTGAAACTAGCCAGATACATAAAGTCAAATGCTGTATGATATCACCTACATGAGGAATCTAAAAAAGTCAAACTCATAGAAGCCAAGAGTAGAAAGGTGGTGGAGAGAGGCAGGCTGGGTGGTAAGGAGAGGTGGATCAAAGTCTATAAACTTTCAGCCAGAAGATAAACAAGCTTTGGGTAGTGACAGATGTATCAAATAATTTCATACAGTGCATATGCATATCAATGGCTACATTATGTACCTTGAGTGTATTCAATCTTTGTCAATCAACTTTTTAAACAAAGATTTGTTTATTTATTTAAAAACTAGAGTTACAGGGGCATGGGGGAAGAGATAGAGAGATCTTTCATGTGCTTTTTCATTCCATAAATGCCCACGATGAGTGGTAATGGGCCAGGCCATAGCCAGAAGCCAGGAGCTTCTTTCCGTCTCTAGGTGGGTGCAGGAGCTCAAGGACTTGGGTTAACTTCTACTCTTTTCCCAGGCATTTTATCAGGGAGCTGGATTGGATGTAGAGCATCTGGGGCTTGAATTGGCAACCACAGGAGATGCAAGCATTGCATGCAGCCTGTTATGCCACTACACTGGCCTCCAATCATACATATTTAAATTTTGAAAATGTGGTAGGTGGGGATTGGTGATGTGGTGTAGTAGGTTAAGTGTCTGCCTGTGGCACCAGCACCCTTGGGCATGCCAGTGGCTTCACTTCCAATCCAGCTCCATGCTGGTGGCCTGGG